AGGACGATGAGGAGGAGAATGAGGACGACGATGAGGATGATGCTGATGATGCTGCTGATTGTGGGGATGCTAATTATGATGATGCTGATGAGTCCGATGATGCTGGTGATGATAAAGTTGATGCTGCTGAGGATGATGTTCGTGATGGTGATGATGATGATGATGATGATGAGGATGATGATGATGATGATGATGATGGTGTTGATGATGATGATGATGATGATGATGATGATGATGGTGATGATGATGATGATGATGATGATGATGATGATGATGCTGGTGAGTATGATGATGATGCTCCTGCCGATGCTGCTGCTGATGATGATGATCATGCTGATGATCATGATGACGATGATGAAGATGATGATGCTGACGATGATGATGATGCTGATGATGATGATGATGATGATGATGATGATGATGATGCTGCTGCTGATCATGAATATGATCATGCTGCTCGCGATGATGCTGCTGATGACGATGCTGATGCCGATGATGATGCGGCTGATGATGACGATGCTGATGATGGGGATGATGCTGATGATGATGATGGTGATGATGATGAGGATTCTATAGAGGATGCAGCTGAGACAGAGCAGGAGGCGGAGGTAGAGGATGAGGATGATGATGACGAGGAGTAGGAGGAGGAGGACGAGGAGGAGGAGGAATGGGATCTGAGGGATAGATATTGGGAGGGCAGGAGGAAGCTTGCATGATGTTAATGGTGATCATGCTGCTGATGATGATGATGATGATGATGAGGAGGAGAGGGCGGAGGAGGAGGAAGAGGACGAGGAGGAGGAGGTTGGGCACAGCAGAGTCGGGGCAGAAGGGGGACGCGTAGGATGGGGAGGGTCTGAGGAGTATCATAGTGATGATGATGCTGCTGCTGATGATGATGAGGATGAAGCTGAGGATGCTGATGCTGATGATGATGACGACGATGATGATAATGCTAATACTGATGATGCCGTTGACGATGATGACGATGCTGATGATACTGATGATGCTGATGATGACGATGCTGATGATGCTGATGATGATTCTGCTGATGATGATGCTGATGATGATGATGATGATGCTGATGATGATGATGATGGCGATACTGATGATGTTGATGATGATGAAGATGCTGCTGCTGATGACGATCTTGGCAATGTTGGTTATGCTGATGCTGGTAATACTGAGGATGTCGAGGATACTGAGGATGCAGATGAGGAGGATGAGGCGGATGCGGATGGTGCTGATGGTGATGCTGAGGAGGTTGCGCATGCTGATGCTGATGATGATGCTGATGATGCTGCTGAGGATTATGCTGATGTTGATGCTTCTTATGATGTTCATGCTGATGCTGCTGATGCTGCTGACGCTGATGCTGGTGATGCTGAGACTGATGCTGATGATGCCGACGACGGCGGTGCTGACGACGCTGATGCTGATGATGCTGATGCTGATGCTGCTGATGCTGATGCCGCTGATTCTGATTCTGATGATGCTGATGGTGATGCGGATGCTGATAATGCTGAGAATGATGATTATACTAATGATGCCGATGCTGATGTTGATGATGCTGCTGATGCTGATGATGATGATGATAGTTATGATGCTGGTGATGGCGATGCTGCTGACGAGGCTGATGATGATGCTGCTCATGATGCTGCTGATAGTGATGAATATGCTGATGATGCTGCTGCCGATGATGATGATGAGGATGATGATTATTCTGATGATACTGATGCCGATTATGATAACGACGATGTCGATGATGATGCTGATGATGACGATGATGATGATGATGCTGCTGATGATGATGATGATGATGCGGCTGAGGCTGCTGCTGATGCTGATGCTGATGCTGCTGCTGATGCTGCTGATTCTGGTGATTCTGACGACGACGATGATGATGATGATGATGATGATGACGACGATGACGATGATGATGATGATGATGATGATGATGATGATGATGATGATGATGATGATGATGATGCTCGTGATGATACTGCTGATGATGACGATGCTGCTGACGATGTCGATGCTGCAGCCTCTTGGTCGAGTGAGTGAAGTACCTTTCCGAGCGAGCGGGAACGATGCCAGGCGATTGATTTTTGGAATCATTAGCAAAGGCAGGTTACGCCATTCTTGCTTGCCTGGGCCGAACAGCTATGTATCTTCGTCGTCGTTCTCTTCGAACGCGCAGATTCTAATGATGAGGCTAGTAGCTGCACATGTTCCTAGGGCCCAGGGTCAACTGCACATGCCTCTCATGAGGATCCCTCTAAGGGCTGGAAGGGGTGTAAGGCTAGACGTCGTACCTACTACAAGGCTTACTGTCATGCAATCGATCGCACTACACACTGTAGGGTGCAACTGTATAGAAAGGGACAGGGCAGGAGATGACAAGGGATGGTATAGCTCAGGCAACATTGGCTAAACTGTTGCTGCTGGTGCTGCTGCTGCACCATCCCAAAGCAAAATAACAGCGGCCACGCATACTATTAACATATGACCAAATAAAGAAATAACAGAGCCAGATGTAGTCACTCAGCCTCCCTGGCATCGGGGTTGCGGCCTTCAGCAGTATCTGCACTACGTCGGAGAAGATGGCGCAAGGATCCCAGCTCACGAGAGCCAACACGGAGGTGGCAGCCTGTACATTTTTCTATTACGCGTAGAAATAGCATCCTCATGGTCGGCCGTCACATGCTTGAGCAGCTGCTCTGCTTTCTCTCCTTTCTCCCCCCTTGCCAACAATCATTGGCCTTGCGGAGTTCGTTCCATGCACTTTGCTTGACTTTTGTGATGCTGCTAACTGCAACACATAACTCCTTCGCTCAGCGCAGGGGCTTTGGCCAGCCGTCGAACGTCATCCCCGAGTACAGGAAGATATTCTGGGTCCTTTCCTCGTCTGAGTCTGAGGTCTCGATATCGAGGGACGCCTCGTACCAGCCCTGGCTCTGCCGTGCACGAATCACCTCCTCCCGATGGGCCTTCCGCCAGCATTCCTCGACGTACCACAGCAGGGGGCCGACTGTCGGGGATGTCATCGTGTTCAGCTGCACCATGCGTTTAAGTCACCGATGGGCTCGAAAGGCATGGTACTCACGAACAGTCGTTTGCACCACTTCGTCACGTTTCACGTCGAGTATAGACAGGGCCATTGCTGACAACGGGTTCGAAGAGGATAGTTATTGAGGAGGAAAAGACACGCGTACTCGCTGGACTCTGCGTTGTTCCCGCCGGGTGCGGGTCGCTGTAGATTCTTGAACGCCTCGAGGAAATGCTACGGAAATAGCTGGAGGGCCATGAGCTCGGGCGTGTCCGTTTTTTTATTGTGAAGCCAACCGCTGAAATAGACATTCACCGGGAAACGGAGCCTCTGGGAGCCCTTGGAGCACCACATCGTTGATAGCCAACCATTTTAAAAAAGGCCATACAAGAGCAATGATTTTAGCAGGAATGATATCTGGCAGGCTAGCAATTTTCCCTAACGTCCACCTTTCATCCTCTCTAGGTGTCTTAGCCATTCGTAAACTTCTGTCAGCTTTGCGTAAGTTTGTACGCTTTTGCGCATTCGGCGCAGCACATGGTTCTCCAGGACTTTTGTCAATCCATTTCGCTTTAGCGGTGGGGCATGCTCGAGCAATATTCACAACTTCGTATCGTCGGGAGTCGCGCCGGCGTTCAGGTAGGTATGTACGTGCCAAACTCTCCATCTTCCGACACACCATTTTCGCACTCCACTTCTCGTGGGTCTTCCACGACACATAGGCCCAGCTTCCAAACGTAGCAGGGCCACAGTATCGCAGCTCGACGGTGCGGGTCACCGTCGACGGGCGCCAAACAACGATCTGTCAGTTGAGAAACGAAGCTGCCTCGGAGCTGTTGCAATGGCGAGCGGGTAGGTGTTAACACAACCGTGGAGAAACAAGCTTCAGCAAGTAATTGAATCTCCACGCTCTTTGGCAGTTTGGGTCGAACGAGTCTCTCCAAGCCAGGGAATTATCCTTGGATCTGGTATTTCGCAAAATGAGCTCGCAATCCTTCATCAAACTGTGTTGCCAGATTCGCAGTACATGATGGTAGCGGAGCGTTCCAATACTGGTGTGCCCATGCTACACTGTGTGGGAGCGGTTCATCGTCAGCATCACGTAGCCGTCGATGTAGGCCGACTGAAACAAGTAGTGCCGCATCATTTTGTTGATATCTATCCTCAGAAACCAAAGGGAGCTTCGATCTATGCGCTTGTAGGTCATAACTGGGAAACAGTTGTAGGTATGTGCCAGGAGCATCTCGAGTAGCTTCATCAAGATGACGCCGTATGATATCTCGGCATCGCATGACTACGACGTCAGGGGTGGAAAACGAACTACTCTTGTCGGCAAGATAATCCCAGCCTGCAAGCTATATTCCGGTTTTCTGCGTGCTCGAACTTTGGCTTCGTGTGGTAGGTGTTTACGTGCATCTAATTGTCTGTGGGTGTACGAGTCAACATTGCCTTGTCGTCATTGCTTTAAGACATCCAAACGTGTTGACAGCTCTCCAAGAGACGGCGCCAACCATAGCGTATACCCTCGAAAGTAATGTATTCATCAACCGCCGCTTTGCTAAAACCAAGCTTATTTTGCCATTATCGCACCAACATAGCGAAATTCTCATTGGAGGCATGGAGGCGCTGGACCTCTCGGGGATCCACCATTCCCCTTCTCCTTTTCCTCCTGCATCTTCTTCTCATCGTCGTCCTCCTCCGCGTCCTCCTCCTCCCCCTCCCCTCCCCCCTGCCGCTCATCCCTCTCGGCGCTCCTCCTCCTCCTCCTGCTCCTCCTCCTCCTGCTCCTCCTCCTCCTCCTCCTCCTCCTCCTCCTCCTCCTCCTCCTCCCCCTCCCCCCGCTGCTGCTCCTCAATCCTCGGTGCTCCCCCCCCCTCCCCGAGCGCCCCGCTGTCCCCCCCCCCCTCCCCCCCGATGCCCGCAGGACGACGAGCCCTGGACGCGCGTCGAGGCGCGCCGCCCCGCCTCCGCCTCGGCGCCCCGCGGGGCCCTCGGGGAGGCGACGCGGCGCGCCCCCCAAAGGCAGCAGCAGGGCGGCCCAGGCCTCCCCGCAGCGAGCCTGCGGCAGCCGGCAGCGTGTCCCCGGAAGTGCGTCTTGCTCCCTCCTCCTGCATGCGGGCCAATTCTAGGGGAACGAAGAGTGGCATTAACATGCAAACTCGGAGGTCCGCGCGGATTTCTCGGATCCGCGCTGGACCCCCCTGGCGGCGCCTCCAGCGCTGAGTTTTTATGTTTATGCCATTTTCGTTCCTCTGAATTGGCTCTTCGGTTGCTCCGAATCGCTTCCCGCTTTTATGCAGTATACCTCGGCCTCGCCGCCGACGTAGAGAGTGTCCCAGAAGCGCTGTCCCACTCGTTCCCTCGGGGCTCCAGAGGCGGGGGTCGAGGCAGACGGGGGTCAGCCAGAGCGCCGGATCTTGCAGGATCCTGCAGGCCCAGGGTCGCATTGACCTGGGTTTGAGTGCAGGATCCTGCAGGATCTTGCAGGATTCTGCGAGGCCTGACTGACCCAGGTCTGGATTGACCCGGGTCAGTAGATCCCCGAGTTTCCAACAACGTGTGCCAGAGGCCTCTTTGCAGCTCCCTGGAAGCTCTCTGGAAGCCTCTGCGAAGCTCCTTCGAAGCTCTCTTCCTGGGCTCCTGCGAAGCTCCTTTCTGAGGCCTCCCGGATGGGGGGTCGGAGTAGATGGGGTCAACGCCGACAAGGAGTCTGCCTTCTTCACATGCACATTCGCTCGCACTTTCTCGGGATGCGTGCTTTTCTGGACAACCTGCATGGATTTCCGGACGCGCGGCCAGAACTCGAGGGCTTCCGCCTCGCGTCTACGGGCGGCTACAGTGCAGCGTTTTCCCGACGAAGCCTGCACCTGCATGTCGATGCCCTCCGCCGCTACTGCGGCCAAGTGGCGCGCCCGCAGAGCCGCGACCACAGCGTCGAAGATGCGTCTGCGATGAGGCCCAATGTGGAGCCCGACTTGCTCCACGCCCGCAGCGCCGAGGCATCACCGACGTCGACGATGCATCGCCAGTGCATCGCCGATGCTTTGGCGATGCGGCGCGATCCTCCGACCCCCATATACTCGGACCCCATCCAGGAGGCCTCTCGAAGAGGCGGGTCGAGAAGTGGGATGTCGCTCGTGAAAACGTGCGTTCCTAGGTATTCCTGGGGCTTCAGGGTGAAAGCACGGCCACGTGTACTGTAGTGTATGCTTTACAAGGGGTCGTGGCCGTGTGACATGGGTGAGAGAACGTTCCATGTGCACCGCTGTGTGTTTTTACAGGGGTCGTGGCCTTGTGACAGGGGTGAGTGCGCGGCCATGTATGTGCACCGCAGTGCGCATTTTTTACGTTGGGCCGTGGCCGTGTGACAGGGGTGGGAGCGCGGCCATGTGTACCGCAGTGCACTTGGTACACAGGGATTGTGGCCGTCCAGGCCATCGAGGCGAGACCACGGTTCCTGAACATATTGTGAGGACGTCCCAGGCGAAACGGCGGCCGCACTGGTTGCAGGGCCAAGTGTCCTCGTGCTCCCCGTCCCCCTTGGTGGACTCTTGTGTGGTTCCTTCGTACTTCTATCCGAACCCTTTTTAGCAAGACGCTATTCTGTCGAGCACGCCTCCAGCCGGATGTGCACGTATTTTGCTCTGTGGAAGTAACCAAGGGCCCATTTCGATCCGATCGATCCGATTCGATCCGATTCGACCCCGACATTCTAATGAACCGACGCGGCACGATGCTTGCATGGCGCTGTCACTCGATTTTGACCCCGTGCCGATGCAGCCCGATCCCGATCGGACTTCCGATACGATGCTCAGTGGTCCTTGCGTTGTTCTGTGAAGAGTCGTGCGGCACATGCTTTCGTGGAAAATGTTGTCCGCGGGGAGCCCGAGGGGATGACCTGGGGCAAGGCACGGCAGGGCAGGGACGGGGGTAGGGCAGGGCGCGGGTGAGAGGCAGGGGATCGGGATGGATCACGTGGAGGAGGAGGGAGGAGAGAACGAGGAGGAGGTAACGAATCACTACTTTTCAAACCACCCAAACCCAAACCGAATGTCCCAGGCCTCTCTACATTTCGGATTTGGGGGGGTACGGATTCCACTGTGTGTTTCTCGATGTTCCAGAGCGTACCCCCACTAGAATTTGGCAGGCCCAACGGCGACTTCTGGTTGGGTTGGGGTGGCCTGGTGGGTAGTCCAAAAAAGGTACAGGGTCAAGCCTGGACTCTCTGGGCCCCTGCGACTGGGGATGTGTGCAGGACCGCGCGGCACTCTGGACACTTTCGGCCTGCCTGGGGCGCCCCTCGGGCACCGAGGGGCGAGAGGAGGGCCCCGCGCTGCTGGCTGGAGCTCCCCGAAACAAACAAGAGCCATGCGAGGGGGATCGGGGGCTGGGCTCTTCAACCCAGCCCGAGCTTGGATGGTCTCCAGTCTACCTGCTTCTGGACGGCAGACGTCTGGGGCCTGGCCACAGGCGCCTATAGACACAAGCGTCTATGGACACAAGCGGCTAGAAGGTGTCCGCTCTCACGTTCTAGCCACCAGCGTCTACGGACACGCCTGGGTGTCGTGTCGTGCATGGACACACTCGGGGTGGAATCGTCTACAGACAACGCGGCCGTTGCGTTCGCCGCAGCACAGGGCCGGAGAACAGGCATATCCATCCACGACGTGTCCCTGCTCCAGAGCAGGCCCCGCGTAGTACTCCAGGCCCGAGCCACGCTCTCCGGGAGGCGAAGCTGGCGAGGGAGGCGGAGAGAGCACCCGCCTCAAACGTCGTCGGAATGCCAGCCCTTCGTGCGCGCACGCGCCGGCGCGCGCGGCGCGCGCGGGGCGGTGGCGCTCCTCGTTCCTCGAACCCCCCTCCTCATTTTTTTTCCCAACCCTCCTGTGTTGGGTACTCGTTTTGAATGGAGCAGTGTGGTCTCCACCTCCTGCTCCTCCCCTCCTTCTCCCTTCTCCTCCCCTCCTCCTTCTCTCCTGTTTCCTGTGTTCCCCTCTCCTCTTCTCTCGTGCCGTCGGGCTGCGATCTGCGCAACTGTCGCCACTTTCGTGGGCTCCTGGGAAGCCCAGCGGAGGTACTTCTTACGCGGATCACCACGGGACCTCGCCGCCCCTGGGGGGCTGCGATCTGCGCAATTGTCGCCATTTTCGTGGGCTCCTGGGAAGCCCAGCGGAGGTACGTCATATGCGGATCACCACGGGACCTCGTCGCCCCCCCGGGGGGCTGCGATCTGCGCAACTGTCGCCACTTTCGTGGGCTCCTGGGAGGCCCAGCGGAGGTACGTCATACGCGGATCACCACGGGACCTCGCCGCCCCTGGGGGGCTGCGATGTGCGCATCTGTCGCCACTTTCGTGGGCTCCTGGGAGGCCCAGCGGAGGTACGTCATACGCGGATCACCACGGGACCTCGCCGCCCCCGGGGGGCTGCGATCTGCGCAATTGTTGCCCTTTTCGTGGGCTCCTGGGAGGCCCAGCGGTCTACCCCATTCGGTCGTCTACCCCATTCGGTCATGTGATGGTTTCCGTTCGGGCGCATAGTTCCCCACTCGGGCACGTGATCGTTTTCTTGGCAGTCCATTCGGGCACGTCGTTGCTTCCATTCGGGCACATACTCGCCTTCATTGCAGTGCCATTCGGGCGCGTTATCGTTTCCATTCGGGCGCATTGTAGTTTTCATTCGGGCGCCCATTCGGGCGCGCCATTCGGGCGCTGGCTCGGGCGCGAAACGCGCTGCGGCCGAATCCGCGCGCGGTTCCCCAGAAACGGCCGGGTTGCTTCGATCGCATTTAACACTTGTTGCCGCAAACCGCCCGCCGCCCCGAGGTCGATGATCGGCGTTAGTCGTGCCGCGGTCTTGGGGTGCCAGCGTTGGGCTTCGCGGTTGTGGGCCACTTCCGCGGGCGCCGTTGGAGGTCGCGGTTCATCGCCCCGTGGCCCCCGGCGGTGAACGGGGCGCCAGGGCGCGTCCGGGGCCGACGGGTTGCGCGAGGGCATCCCCCAACAGGATCTCTCGGGGGGCTGCTTGGGGGCCTTTTCTTTGACCTTGTTCATCCGCCGCCCGTCGTTGAAAAGGCGAGCGCGTCGGGGAGGGGGGGCCATGCAAGGCGGTTGGATGGGGCGAGGGCGCGGAGGGTGGGCGGGGGGGCGGGCGCGCTTGGCCCCCCCCCACGAGGCTACCAAACGCCTTGAGGCAGCTCGCGGGCGCGTCCAGGGCGCCGCCGAGGGGGCCCGAGAGACCTCGCAGACGGCCCAAGGGGCTTCGTTCCAGCCCGAGCGAATTCCGAGACGACCCAAGACGGGCCAAAACGGGCCCCATTGGAGCTCTCTCGCGGCTGTTAGAGCGGCCCCGCGGGATTGTGCGAGGCCGTGTTGGGGGCTCCGAGAAGCCCGGCCACCCGCCGGGAAAACGCTCCAGGGGGATGTCCCGCGTGCTCCGCATTGCAAGCTTGTTGGTGACCTTTGGGAGTTTTCTCGCGCCCCGGAATAGCCCGAAGAGGCTCCCCGCTTGGGCCCCGAAGGGCCGCTATGTCAAGTCTCTATTGGACTCCCATGGCCCTCTCGTAGCGATTTTGATGCCCCCTGGGGGCCTTCCTCGGCCCGGTGCCGGGGTGTTTTCGGGGCCTCAAGGCGGATCCAAAAGGGCCCGAAGAGGGCATTTCAAGCAGTCATTTTGAGGGGGGCAAAAAGGATTGCGTTGCTGTTCGCGGCCTTCGGTCTTAGTTCCCTTTTGAGGTCCTCTCGGAGTCTATCGGGGCCCTGCAGGGCCCCTCTGGCTCCTCCCAGGCAGTCTTGGGCCCCAACGGGGGCTCCGAGAGGCCCCCCCAATGGGGTTTCGAGGTGGCTCGATGTCGAAGCGCGCGGTGCGACTTGAAATCGAGACCTCTCGGTGTTTTCTTGGATCCCCCCCGGGCTTCTCTCGGGGCTCGCAGGGGCCGTCTCGGGGGCCCGGG